GGCATCCCAACAACCGGCATTTCAAAGGCCGACAAAACCGTAGCCAACCATCGCACCCACTTATAGCCACCATTAAACCGACTGCATTAGCCCCCGACGCCTGGTCCTTCCACCTGGGTGGGTGGAAGGGAAGAACCAAACGCCGGAAGAGAAGGAGCTAGTGCAGGGCCGACACACCTAACATCGGCAAAGCCAAATTAGAGAAATTTGGCTAACCGAAATCAAACCTTCCGAGAGTCGACTCAGCGAGGACGGAATAGCCAACCATCCCCGTTCGAAATGCTAGCATCCCAACAACCGGCATTTCAAAGCCAACAAAACTGTAGCCAACCGTCCCACCCACTTAGAGCCACCATAAAACCGACTGCACCAGCCCCCGACGCCTGGTCCATCCACCTGGGTGGGTGTAATGGAAGAACCAAACCCCGGAAGGGAAGGAGCTAGAGCAGGGCCGACACACCTAACATCGGCACACCGAGCCAAATTAATGAAATTTGGCTAACCGAAATCCAACCTTCCGAGAGTCGACTCAGCGAGGACGAAATAGCCAACCATCCCCGTTCGAAATGCCGGCATCCCAACAACTGGCATTTCAAAGCCAACAAAAGCGTAGCCAACCGTCCCACCCACTTAGTGTTGGAGTTATGCCCTGATGGCCAACTGTTTATCATTATTCTATCATCTATAGGCAGATATAATATGTTTACACATCTTATGCTAATGTAAACAAATATTATATTCCTAGATTTATATTTAAAGATGTTTATCAGATAGTGTTATTCTGCTGATGAGACTAACATCTTGAAATAAATATTTATCTGAATGTCCATAGTCGCGTATTAACGAGAGTGGGATATCGTTAATGCATGTGAGACTAGTGTGTGTTGGATGTTTGACTTAGTCTCATGGTCAATGACCATGTGTTCGCATCCGCACATGGGCAGATATTATCTAGAGATAATAGGATGTCGGACTGACCCATTCTAAAGATGTTGCTTGAATTTTTAGTTCATGCTCTAAGCATTTTTAGCGCGACCACGGGTGTAACTCTCCTTTGACTTGAAGTATTACGTTTTCTGCATATGTGAACCCGCATACTTTGATGCATTGTCCTAAGCCATATGAAATAAGGATGGTATACAGGCTTTGTTTTGGGTATGCCGCAGCGCGTATTCAGAAACGTAGATTACGTACATAGAATTTGTCACTACTCTTTTTAAAAGATATTAATGTCTTATGGGGCCCACTGATAAGTTATGATTGAGGAAATTGCATGGCCATGCTGAGATGTTTTTATGACGTCTATTCCTATTAGTCAAACTTGATAAATCAGTGAATGACTTAATGGATACAAGCTGGATTTTTTTTTAAATCCCTTGCATTAAGTTTAGACATTGAGACAAAGGGATACAGTTGCACAGAGTTTGAGTCGTGGAAAGGTTTTGACTGTGCAAACGTCTTAACTTATAATCTGGGGGCAATAATGTGTTGCTAGATACCGCTTATTGCTTATAGTATTGGTGCAGAGCCAATACTGTGGCCAGCTTTATAAGTGCCTATACGGGTCACACACTTTGGACAATTTAAGGAGTAGGATTAAACAATGGGATAATAAGTAATTTGTATATTTGTAAAAATAGTAAAATA